CTCTCTCTCTCTCTCTCTCTCTCTCTCTCTCTCTCTCTCTCTCTCTCTCTCTCTCTCTCTCTCTCTCTCTCTCTCTCTCTCGCTCTCTCTCTCTAGCTTGATGTTCTGTAGCGCTTTGCAGCCAGTGTTTCATCTTCGGAATCGGACCCATTCTCTTCCAATGAACTACCACCGTAGTACGACAGCAGAGGGAGCTGTTGGAGGCGTCCGGCGGCATCCGGTAGGGCCCTGAAACGGCCAAAAAATACCGGGGGCATTTTTGGGCGGCGACCTAGGACCCGAAAACAAGTCCTAGCCCCCCCTCAAAAAATTGGGCCCAATCCGAACCTACCGGACCGGACACCGGACCCAAACCCAGACAACCGGACCGCCTGGATTCAGGTCCAGACGTCCGGCCGGTTACCATTGTTTATTATTGATTTGGCGTCCCACAGATGGCGGACAAGCAGCATTGTGTACTTTCAAATGTCAGTCCCAGCAGGAAAAACAAAAACAGAAACATAAAGAGGAACGAAAGCAACACGAATTGGCATTGTGTACTTTCAAATGTCAGTTCCAGCCCAAAAGAACAGAACCAAAAAGAGGAACAAAAGCGGCACAAACTGAAAAGGCACAGGTATCAGCTGGCCACCTGGGTGAGGTCGAGTTACGGTTGGTTATGAACCTCCTCGTGTGGGGTTTGGTACAGGTTTGGTCCCCTGGTCTAACCCTGTTTATGAGCATGTATGTGTGTGTGTGTGTGTGTGTGTGTGTGTGTGTGTGTGTGTGTGTGGTGGGTGGGTGGGTGGGTGTCCTTCCTTTCTTAATCTTGAAGCTCCTCAAGAACTTCTTTTTATTCCTTAGATTGAGATTCAAAAGATGAATATAATTTATTTATTTTTTTCGAATAGTAGAAACTTTTTGAACAATGACTTAAAATAGATTTTGCCATGGAGAATCAAAAGCAAGGGGTTATATAGTATCTATATATTCAATGATTGATAATTCTCCTTTATAATTGAGAAATGTCTTTCTCTATTGTATTCCACATTCTAGAATATATATATTGTGAATATGAGTCGGTGAAACTCCGACGAAACAGTTTGTCACAGCCCCTCGTTTGTTGTCCTCTTCTCCCTCTCTGCCTACGGTTTACCGGGCAGTTCTATTTGACGATATATATAGAGAGAGAGAGAGGAGGGGAGATGGGTTGATGAGGAGATGGGAGTAGTGCCGTTTACAGAATTCATAGAATTTATATGGAAATAATAATTTAATAATTGTATCTAGAAAAGAAGACAGCTTTTGTTTCCCAGGATGGTGGGCAGATTCCCTCCCTTGCCCCCCCCCCTCGGGATATCCAGCCAGTTATTGAATTATGTGCCACATGTGATGGTTGTGAAATCAATGATCATACTGTGGTAAAGGTAGTGGTGCCTCATTTTGCCTTTATTGTATCTGGAGAGGAGGGGTTTCAAATTCCTTGGTCGTCTATTTTGGTACGGTCAACCGTCATTTCCGTTGCTGTTATTTTTCTTATCGTCATTTCTGAAAGTTTAATACACTCCACTCCACTCCACTTGAATTGAATTGATACTCTGCAGAGTCTGCGGTCAGTAGGGAAAGTGTGGTTGCCAGCAAGGAGCATTGTGGCAGGCTGCCTGGAGCGGAGGTTTGATGCGCACAAGAGCGGGGAAATCCTGGTATTGGACAGGTTCTGCCCGGTAAGCTTACCTTCCAAGTAGCCCTGAGTTCCCACTGTCCCAATATTAGGAGGGAAAATGCACCTGGTCCAGAAAGGAGTCCAAATGCATGTAGCCCAAAGTACGAACTTCTGTGAGAACTGGTGTCTACAGTTTCAGGTACGCTAACGGCCTCGTTACTCCACTCAAGACTCTACATGTATGTGGACCTCGTGATTGTCTGAACTCCTCCCAATGCACCTGGTCCAGAAAAGAGTCCAAATGCGTGTAGAATGTTTTGTAGTGGAGCGAGGCCCTCAGCAAGAAGTATAACTCTGCCCAAAATTTTCCCAACGTGCCCGCCACGTGTCCACATTTCCTTCAATTTCTTTTTGCTAGGCACAAGTCAGGTCTGCCACTGGTGCAGCGGAGCGCCAGTCCGCTACACAGCTGCTTGATCCTTCTTGTGCTTTCAATCCCTCACAGGGTTACTAGGGCAGACTCATCACTTCGCACCGTAGAATATCAAAATCTATGGCCAGAAATAGAGAATAGAGGTCACTGGAACCTCTCTACTGCATGTCTTTGGGATCATGGATGGACAACAGTGCCGAACGAGAGGCAGCACTAATTACAAGATCAGTGTGGGGTAGTGTGGGCTGCATCCTGTTCTTTAAGACGCAGTGTTGCTTCCCATGAAGATGCCGTGCTGTGCGCCATCACCCCTCTAAGGCCTCAGCATGGTGGGGTGATGACTACCGCAAGCGTTACCCCAAATACAGTAGAATGACCGGGAGTTCTATTTGGGTGAAGACAGCAGTAGCGATTTTTGATGGGTGACAGATGCCGTCACTAAGGGACAGATGCCACCACGAATGGAGTCGTTTTTCAGTATTCCCATTCGTAAACCCAACTTGAGACGCTGACAACGTCAACCTCATGGACAGTCCACCAGAGAGAGAGAGAGAGAGAGAGAGAGAGCCATCACTAAGGGACAGATGCAGCCATGAATGGAGTTTCTTTCCCTATTCTCATTCCTAAACCCAACTTGAGACGCTGACAACATCAACCTCATGAACAATGATCCATCATAGAGCGAGAGAGAGAGGGTCCAGAGGGAGAGGGGGAGAGAGAGAGTTAGACAGGAGGGGCCTGTGGCCTCCTCGTACAGGAGAGGCTCATACTTGTGGTTTAAGAGAGTATTTTTCACAGTTTGCAAATGATAGCTGCTTCGATATCAATGAGAAACCGTATTAAAAAGAAATCTCCATTTGTTTTTTCAAAAAAAAAGAAGAAGAAGAGAAGAATCTCCACCATTTGTGCTTCTGTGTGATGCGAGGTGCTGCCATGTCTAACCATCTGTGCTCATGTCCGCCATGTCCTCCTCTTGTGCTCTGCAGTGGAAATTGCATCTCTTTGACTTGGAGCAGGAGACGAAGGTTGACCCTTCCATCAAATACTGCCTTTATCAGGTAAGACCTTGCCTCGCACCTGACAATTATGTCACACCATGGAGGGTGATCTCCATTTCCACCAGTAAATCACGAGCTCACCCGAACCAAAGTAGGGCTCTTACGGGGTCTTGGCTGGCACAGCTCAGGCAGGCAAACAAAAAAGCGACCCGGTTGGGGCCAAAACTAGACCTAGAGAGGGCAGCCATTCACGTTGCCGCGTTTCTCCACAGCCCGCCAAGCACAGAAAGGCGTCTTGAACAATGTGAAAATGGCCAATTGTGAAGGACCGGAAAAAAGAAAAAACGAGAAAACAAAAAGTAAAAGGACCTATGAAGATTGTCACGACCAGCCCGGCCAGGCACCCCGGCGTGACGCCTGCAGGGGGATCTGACGCCAAGGGTTCAGCCTCCTGATGAGTCCATGAAACTCCAACGAAACAGTTTGTCACAGCCCCTCGTTTGTTGTCCTCTTCTCCCTCTCTGCCTATGGTTTACCGGGCAGCTCTGTTTGATATATTCTCTGTTTGACTATGGATTCTGCAGACTGTTGAGGGTTCAGCCAAAACTCCGACAAAACAGTTTGTCACAGCCCCTCGTTTGTTGTCCTCTTCTCTCTCTCTGCCTACGGTTTACCAGGCAGTTCTGTTTGTGACGATAGGTGAAACTCGGACGAAACAGTTTGTCACAGCCCCTCGTTTGTTGTCCTCTTCTCTCTCTCTGCCTACGGTTTCACCTGGCAGTTCTGTTTGTGATGATATATACACAAGGTTAGGGCAAGACTATGGTGGACTACTAAGGGCCTAGCCCTGTTGTGCAAAAGACAACGCAAAGCAGCTATGTCCGCTGCTACTCAGGCCGCCATGGCTGACTCTGCCTTGAAACCTTCTTGTTGCTGCACAACCCCCACTGGGGCCTTCCAGATGCTGCGCCTAACAAGGTGATGAAGATTGCGTTCACCATAGCCAGGTACCTTGCCACTCTCCTCCCGAGTCTTCTTCCTCCTCCTCCTACCTGGGGTCTTCCTGCATAGCCAGGGAGGTCACCCGGGCGCTCCTCCTCCCAGGCAGCGCTAGTAGAGCCGCTCTGCTGCTTTCAGCAGCGCTCTGAAGTCCAGCGCCCGCTCAACCAGCATGACGCCCAAACTTGCATACTGCAAATGAGGAGCACTTCGCTCCTCCTGGAGATATAGCGGCCTACGTGCCTCTTGGGCGGTGACTTCCAGGCGGTGCGGTCTCCAATCAACCGGTACCTCCTCCCTTTCATTGCAGACTCTGATATCGCTCGTACAGGCCCTAGACTCAGACTACTTGGACTGGTACCCGCCTAGGCCTAGCCTACTGCTACTGGGCCTCTTAACTTTTTTCTTCTTCTGCTCAGCCTCTGGTTCGCGACACATCTACCACTACTTTGAGTGGTACCGGCCTACCTCCTACTAGAGTGTTTTTCCCGCTGCCCTAGTTGTCACGGGCCTACTCCCCGCTACTTGAAAGTTTTCCCCGCTGCAACCCTCAAAGTCACGGCCACAGGTAAGTACCGGCCCTACGGTGCCTTCCAAACAAACAAGTGCCCTGGCGGGCCACACACACACTGAAGCCGACAAGCACTCAGACAGGCACGCAGACCAGCAAGCACGCACACACAGACATAGAAAACTCTAAGGCGGGAATCTCAGCAAGGCATTCATTCCAGCGGCAAAACTCAGAAATCAGCTGTGTTATCAGTCCGTGTTTTGGCAGGGCTTTACAAATATATATTGTCAATATGTGTTTGACTATATCAGCCTCCTGAGGAGTCGGCGAAAGTCCGACAAAACAGTTTGTCACAGCCCCTCGATTGCTGTCCTCTTCTCCCTTTTGTCCCTCTCTGCCTATGGTTTACCAGGCAGTTCTGTTTGATTAACTTTGATGATGCATATAAGATTATATATATTTCTTTTTTCTTTTTTTTTTTCTTTTTGTTCTGGTTTTCCATTCTCTCTGAGAGGACCCCAAATTCGGGCTCTTTTCTTTTTTTTGTGTCTTGGCAATTGAGGGGTGGGCTTGGGGATATAAATTGGTTTTGAAGGGCCTAAAGGGGTTGAAAGGGGAGTGCCGTAGTGTGATTCTGTTATTTTCTTTTGTAGCTCCGGTACTGAGGAATTCTGATGTGACCCACAGCCAAAAGTCGTTTGCATTGCAACTCTACACAACGATTTCTTTTTCCGGGATTTTTTTTTTTTTTTTTTTTTTTGCGCGCGCTGAGGCTGCTTGGAACCGTGCCCAGGGGTCATGCCCGGCCGAGCCCCCGTGTGTGTATCTGGGCACAAGTTTCTGAAAAGCGCCTCGCTGAAAACGGAGAAAACATCCTAGAAAAACAACCCAGAAAAACAACCTAGAAAAGCGCCTCGCTGAAAACGGAGAAAACATCCAGTTTCTGAAAGCCAATGTGTGGACAGGGCCGGAATTCAGCGCTCACCAAAAACGGAAAAGATTATGTGCGTGTGTTTCCTTGTCCCTGTGGAGTATTCATTCTCATTTTTTACATTTGGCGAGTGCCGTAGTTATGCTCGAAGGTGCATCTGACCTCAAACACGCGCGTTGTGCACTGTCTGTGTTTGGGCATGCACCTCCAACGTGAGCCGTGTAGGGGGGAGGGGGGAGAGAGAGAGAGAGAGAGAGAGAGAGAGAGAGAGGGAGAGAGAGAGAGAGAGAGCAGGCACTGGCTGTGATCATGCACGTTGGTGTACTTCCGTGTGGGGCCCTATGAGACAATTAGGGGAAAAACAAAATCGGCAGCCAGGCCTCTATGGACTCCTGAAAACGAAGCGTTAGCATCACTGCTTCGTTTTTCTTGAGAAAAGCACTCTGCTTCAATCAAGTGAGGCCTTACGGCCTCGGAAGAGTCAGAAGGTAGCTTGGGGAGCTTATGCGCGTCTGAACTGGTTGTTTAACACCCTGAGTCTCTCTTGCCTGCCTCTTTTACTCCCAAGTCTCCCCTCCCTTCCCTCTCTTTACCAGGCCTTGCCATTTTTTTTGGTAATGGACGGTTAAGTACCCTGTAAAGAGTGTTCACCATTTCCACCGTCGACTGTCTGCTCTCCCTCACCCTCCGTTCTCTCTCTCTCTTTTTTTTTTTTTTTTTTTTTTTTTTTTACATTTTTATTCCAAAGGCAAATACAAGGCCCGGGAACCTCACAATCCCTAGGAGCCTTACCCAGTTTTAGCTTACGAGCCTCTGCTCGCGGCAGAATCCTGTCTGCCCTGAACGTTGCCTGTATGTTCTATCCCTAGCCCCGGCGACTGAAGCCACCGTCTAAACCCTAAACCCCCTCCCCTAGATGCAAAAACAGGACTCAGGCTCGCTTCTGTCCTGGTCCTTACTTGCGTCCTCTCACTCCTCCATTCTCACTTTCCCAGTCCTTGCCTTTTCGGATTGGGCCGTTATGTGACTCTCTGTGAAGAGTGTTCTAACCAAATTGGTAATAACATTAAATAACTTATTAATTAACTCACTAGAAAGTACTAATAACTGATCGATAATTGGTAGTCAATAATTGGTCCATAATTGCTCCATGATGGCTCCGGTCCATAATTGGTCCGTAATTGGTAGTCCATAATTGGTTGATAATTTGTCGATAATTGGTTGATAGTTGGTCGGTATATGGTTCATAATGGGTCGAAAATTGGTCGACAATTGGTGTATAATTGGGGTATAATTGGGGTATAATAGGGGTATAATAGGGGTATCATTGGGGTATAATTTTTGGTTGTGGAATTTGCTGATGTGCAGGATGATCGCAGCGGTAGCTGGAGAGTACAGGCAGTATCTATTGGTCCGGGAAAGTTTGAGAGTCGAAAGCCTTTGCCGGAAGCTTGGCGGAGCCTGAGAGACGAGGAGTTATCCCAGGTTGCTGATATTCCTGGTTGCATATTTGTTCACACTAGTGGATTCATTGGTGGAAACAAGTCCATCGATGGAGCGCTGGCAATGGCATCGAAAGCTCTTACCATGAGTTAGGAATCCGAGGCTGTGTGTTCAGACCAGGGCTTTCTTTGATGAACCTGACCGCAATCATGGCCAGTGGCAGTCATAAGGAAGTCCCAAGTGTGACCAGGTTTTCCTTGAGTTTACTTCTCAAGTACTGGATGCTACAAAGTCAGCATGGTGGTGACAAAATCAGGATAGGAAAAAAAAAAAAAAAAAAAAAAAAGGTAATACTTCAAGAAGGTGATTTCTGTTACGTCCTCATGAAGCTTTTTTTTTTTTTTTTTTTTTTTTTTAAAGAAGGGAATTTCAAGAAAGAGAACGTTACAGCGAGGAGAGTCGTAAAGGAGTTGATTAGGAATTTAGGGAGTTGCCCTGCTAATCTCCTACTCAATGGTGATTGAATTTTTCATGCCAGCTTTTACTTCAAATAGAACGCAAGTCACTCGATTAGGAAGTTGCGGCATCTCACGAGCCCAAGTTACCCCATTAGGAAATTTGCTGCATCTCACAAAACAAATTATCGGGCACTCGTTACTACTCGACAATATCCATGTTTTCTCTCAGAGCACCTTTGCGCTCAGTGCACCCGCGGGACCACCACATGTCGGTCCTGTGCCAGCCCGCCACATGTCGGTCCTGTAGCAGTCCGCCTTATGCCTGGGCTGTGCGTCAAAAAAGAAAAGGTCTTATGTCAGATTGCGATTGCCGTGGTTGATGTCAGCAGCCACAGTCTTGTTTCTGGCGGCTGCGTTTTCTTCGAGGCAGCCTGAGGTTCAGCATTTTCAGCCTCTCCAGGCAAAAGTGAAGATTTAGTAAAACAGTTTATTGAAGCTTGACTTTTGTCCCCGTCCCCCGCCGCCTTTTAGAAAACTGATTCTTCAATAAAACAGTTTTGACTCTCGAGGAGTCCTCATTGCAATGTCCTAGAGAATAGCTTTGGGAGCCAACCCTGTCGGCCCCTGTTTTCTAAAAGGCGGCGGGGGGAGGGGGGAGAAAAAAAAAAAGTCAAAGCAGCAAATCTTAAACCGGCAGCACGTTTTCCGCGCTGCAACCTTCGACATTTTTTTCAAAGACGCGGCTTGCATGCGGCCGCAACTTTCGGCCAGGAAGAATTGAAACATAACACTTCTTTGGCTCACCAGCGGAAGGGAAGAGCCTGGTAGAGCATGCCGCTGCTCTCGCGACGGCCCCAGGAGTAAAATGGCTGGCGGCACCAGCCAAAAGGCAGCGGCCCGCGCTGGGCATTTCCAGCGCCGTCGAAAAGTGTCTCGGAAGTACATGTGGTTTACCCCAGTTCCCTGGCGTCAGGTTCTTCATGCATTTGGCCCTCAGAACTCTTTAACCCACTTTCTGAGCTGAAAGCCTGAAAGTTGAAACCCTTGGACCCACTTCATGAACCTGTATCACACAACTCAGGGACAAGAGCTAAGGTTACCTGGAGCTGCTAACTGGGCACCACCCGTCCAGGTGGCCTCGCTGTGCGGCCACGTGGGTGCTCTGGGCGTGTACAAACTGTGGGATTATCTTTCTTTTTCCCGTCGGTGTACGGACTGTGGGATTTATTTAATCCCCCCCGCCATCGGTGGAGCTTTTCTGCGCCCACTGACAGCAGCGCAAATCCAGGGTCTGTTTTGTCTTTCAGTGTTGTCCAATGGGGACTGGGTGGCCTCGCTGTCCAGCCACCCGGGTGCCCTGGGCACGTACGAATTGAGGGATGTTTTTTTTTCTTTTCCCCCATGTGTGGGGCTTTTCTGCACCCATCGGAAGCAGCAGCCCAAATCCAGGCTTCTTTTTTGTCTTTCAGTGTTGTGCACTGGGTGGGGGGAAGGGGGGAAAAGGAGTATAATTTGTGCTGAACGGGCTTAAATTGGATTAACGTTCGTTAAACAAGGGTGGCTTAGTTTGTTTTTTCTATTTTCTTGTTAATCTTTGATTCAATAAGCAATTGTGAGGTGACCCTCAGCCAAAAGTTGTTTGCATTGCAATTCTGCACAACGTTGGCTCTCACAGACCATTTTCATTTTGTTCATTTTCACAGAACGTTTTCATTTTGTTAATTTTCTTTAATTTTGTGCTGGGGCTGCTCGGGACCCAGCTCGGGCAGCCGGGTCTGTGTCTGGGCACGACATGCATGCCCGGGTGCACGGCAAATTGACCCAGGTTAAGACTTCAGCCCGGGTGTCACAACTCTTAACCCACCTTGCCGGTAAAACATCCTCGGACTGATTCACCACGAGAGTGAACTCAGTAAATCAGAACGTCAGAAATTTGGGACTCCAAAGTCGTGCCGTCATACTTGAATGGTTGGGAGAACATGGGACTTTGTTTCGGAGGGGGGGGGAACTACACGGGAGTCGCAAAAACGAGTTATAGTTGCAGTATGGGCCAAGATACAGTTTGCAATTGCAGTTCGGGCAACGTATACAACCCAGCTTTCTGGTCAGGTAGGGTGCCGGAAGTGCAATTGCAAACTCTAGGTAGGGTCCCTGAAGTGCAATTGCAAACTGTGGGTAGGGTGCCTGAAGTGCAATTGCAAAAAAATATATTGGCCCTTAGGGCCATAGTGCAATTATAACTCGTTTTTGTGACTCCCCCGTAGTTACCCCTTTTATTTTTTTGTGACTTCCCCGTAGTTACCCCTTTTATTTWTTTGTGACTTCCCCCGTAGTTACCCCTTTTATTTTTTTGTGACTCCCCCGTAGTTACCCCTTTTATTTTTTTGTGACTCCCCCGTAGTTACCCCTTTTATAACTCGTTTAAGTGCATAAAAGGTATCGTAAATGAATGTTTGGTTGGTACTCTTTGGAGGGAGGGGCTTGGTGTGCACGAATAACGAATAGCAGTGTCTCTGGGATCTAGGTAAACGACTAGATGCCAGCGCGTTCACATGCCAGGAAATTCTCGCACTGACAGGATGACATGGAGTGGCTGCCGTCAAACCGCAAGCGCAGTAGCCTTGCCTGAAGCCTGCACTTAGTGCAGCAACGGTAGCACACGTACAGGAACACGATGGGGCCTGGTCAATGCTCGTCTCTTGCTCTGCCTGTTGTTCCATGCCTGTTACAGTGGTCTTCAGAGGCCTCTGAACCAGACCGGCAGGTCTGGAGGGTGGCACTAAAATAAGGCAGAGTCTTAACCAGGGATCATGGTGCAGCGGCAGGACTCAGGGGCAGGCGCAGCGCGCAAGGGGTGGATTTTTAAATCGGCCCATGCTGTGGACAACTTTCCAGGGATCGGTTGGCCTGTCCCGGTTCTGGTTGTGCCCACGGCCGCGTCCCTTAGCTGCTTGCCAGGAAAATCACCTTTGCCTGAACCAACATTGTTGTGGGGTTGGTGGTTGTTGTGGGGTTGGTGGTGGTTGTGGGGTTGGTGGTGGTGATTCTGACCAGTTTAGTGCCAGGTTCATGCCAGGTTGTATGGCACTGTTAGCCGTCAGATTTTCCGTGAGGAGGAATTAAGCAGGTCGGTCCCTCGGATTGTTTACGGCCAATTTGTAGACAGGTCAAAGCTTGCCTTGTGCACACAATTCGGATTCGATGTGTCAGCAACAGATAAAGACGGATTCGATGTGTCAGCAAAAAAAGTTGATGGATGTTGTCTGACAGCAGCAGATGACGTACCTTCTTTTTTTTTTCTTTTTTTTTTAAAAAAAGAAAGGCTCCTTCTATTCTGGGGAGCTTCAGTCCGGTTCCTATTCCATCGGCAAGTCGGAATTATACACAACAATTAAGACACACTCACGCTTCCTTCCGTCTGGCCGAATGACCCCTGAGCAGCATTGATTACTCAATGACGTACCTTTTTATCTTTTTTCCTTTTTTCTTTTTTTTTTTTGGCCTCGAAATGTTTACACGTGACCTAACTTCAAATCAACGAGGCTGGGATCCTCGCAGACTACCCAGTTTTCACCTTCTGGGAGCATTACCCAGCTTTGCTTTTGACAGGACCCAATTGGGACCCGAAGAACCAGCTCTCCTCCAAATATCTCAAATTACTCTAGCAAATATTTACCAGGTTGAGTCGTACTTCTTCTATTCACCCTTACTGCCACCTATTGACAAAAAGCTACTCGTTATTGTGAAAGAGCAAAAACACACAAGTAGAACCTTTCTAACTACTAACCATTACCGGAACAGCACTTATTATCGGACTCAAATTATCTCCACATTGTGCTCGCGAGGTAGGTATCGACGTAAGTCCCTAGCGGAGATCCAATCTTTTTTATTTAAATCCCAAATGTCTTTAATGTGGATGATCCCCTTATCCACCCATCCCCTACCAAAACTGCAAGGACTTCCATCTGCAGTGAGAGGGGGGGGCGTCCATCAGTGTAATCAGCGGATCATCGAAAAGAATCTGGTTCAAGACCTCAACTTTGGTGGTCGGTTGAGGCCTCTTTCCACGGAAAAGCTTATGCCAGGCAAACAGAATACCCCGCCAAAATCTGGACGTCGGTATCCTATTGGAGTAGGACGGAATGAACATGCATTTCCACACATCTTCCCCCTTTGACAAACCCCATTCTAGTACAAGGATATACTCTGCTAGGACATTCCACAATTTGGTTTTGTTATCCCGTGTGCCAGCAATCACCCACTTGCACAACAGAGCCAAATTTTGGTGTATGCCATCCAAAGTTACCAAGCCCCCTGACTTTCTAGAAGATGCTATTGTGTCCCAAGCGACTTTGGATTGGAATCCCCGATTTCCCAAAGCTGACGGCTACCGAATGTACTGGGCTGATGCCCTTTTGATCTTCGAGTAAGCTCCTTCTCCTAGTCAGTGAACCGAGAGGGAGAACCATAAATTTAAGTAAAGTATATAAGAAAAACTGATATGCTGCTTGTATTTAAGAAGGCTGTCGTTGACAGTATTAGAGTCCTACCCTATAGCGAACGCTTGTGGTTGCATACCCATCCAGCGATTCTTGCCGATACTTTCTCCGCCGAGATGTTATCCTGCAACAGCTGAACAATCTGACAAAGATACTTGCAGGCCCAAAAAGCGATCTGCTGAGTTAGCTGGCACATGTCGCATTCTCCAATTGACATAGATTTGGGGTGGGTGGAACAACGTAAACAGACTTATCACAATGAGTCGATGGCTCGGACAAGGAACAATAAGCTCCTAACGATTCTGTTATATTCTCACTTGCTATATAGTCAGGTCATCAGCTATTGCTCCTCCTTTCCATTAAAGGGAGGAGGACAGCTTCAGGCACCGCATCTCGGTGCTACGCCTTGTGTTATTTTGAAGAGCTAACTGAAGAACGAATAACACAGGAGACAATGGACACCCCTGTAGCGAGGAACGCGTTAGTCTAAAGCAATCAGAAAGCTTACTGTTAGACAGCTACCATTCAGGAAGGATGATGATAGCTAGCACCCATTTACAAAAACCATCCCCCACCAGTACGTTTCCCTGCTAGGAAAACAAACACGTGCCGGTTAACACGGGGGTAGGTGCAAGGAATGACCGACCCCTCCTAACGACCGACTCTGAAAAAGGATTAAAAATCAATAACAGAAAAAAAATAAAATAAAAAAATAAAGGGGGGACTGACAGGCAAGAAGAAGGCGGAAAGATGCAGGAGAGAGAGAGAGAGAGAGAGAGAGAGAGAGAGAGAGAGAGAGAGAGAGATTAGCTTTATATCCACTACCTATGATTTAGAAAAAGAAAGAACATAAATTTTTGGTTTCCATAAGCTTCACTATATTAAATTTGACAAAGAATTCCCGCTTTCAGGAAGCAGTTGTTAGGTGCGATCACCAAAACAACATTGACACCAGTCGTAATTAATTGTGATATTGTTTTGTCGACAACCATCATAG